CTCACCGTACCGCCCACGGAGAAGCTCGAGTAGCTCTGCATCGTGCGCGGCGAGAGGCCAAACTGGTTGAGGTAGTGGATGAGATCGGTCCAGTGGGCTCCCGTGCCCGCGGAGACGAGCTCCGTGGCCGGATCATAGGCCAGGCGGTCGAAGTGGCGCATGTCCAGCACGAAGCCGCCGGGCGCGATGGTGTGGCCGCCCATCGAATGCTGGGTCCCGCGCACCGACACCTGCCGGCCCTCTGCCGCGGCGCAGCGCAGGATGGCCTTGATGTCGGCCGACGTGCGAACCTCGAACACGCGCTCGACGTCGGTGGCGTTGAGCCGCGAGACATCGTCCACCTGCGGCGAGGCGTGAGGCGGTGCCGTTGGGTCGGGCCAGGTGGCCTCCGAGTACTGCCGCTTGGGCTTCTTGGCCGCTACCGCCGGCGACGACGGTGGCGATGTCGACTGCGACAGCGACGGGGAGGAGGGAGCTGCAAGCAGAAAAAGAAAGAAAGCACGCACATGTTAAGCTCAACAACAACAAAACCAAAAGCCAAACCATTTTCTTATGGACCGAGGGGGGGGGCACCAGAGGACAAGTCCTGCCTGCTGCTACTTCTGCTGCTGAACATGGCTTAAAGGCGCTGCGGTGAGTGCCTTCGACGGCTTCTAGTCGATAGTGTGCTTCTAACCTGTGGCTGCCTCGGCTCCAAAACTCGCTCTACAACTTTGTCCTCTCCCGCGGCACCCCAACCACAGGCCGCGCTGAAACCCTCTTTTCAAAGGCCGAAGTAGGGCCTGCCACGTTTGATTTCCAGTTGGCTATTTTTTTTTCTCTTCACCAAAGGCCGCAGACAGTGGCGGGTGACACGTGGGCTGAAACCTATTTTGTGTGGACACCATTGATGATCAGAGGGACACTCCCAGATCACCACGAGTGAGTTGAAAGTCCACGTTGCCCTGCAGGAAGAGCTTGGGCGTGTAGGCACGCGAGGCGCCGGCAGCCATCAGGCCCAGCAGCTGTTGGGCGTGCTCCGCCACGCTCGCGCCGGCCTCCAGGCACAGATCGAAGTCGGCACGGTGGCCCACCCCATCCGCCTCTGCGGAGGGGCTCTCGACGTAGGTCACCTGAAGGAGCGGCACCAGCGGGTTGGCCTGCTGAGGGCGGCTCGTTGCGGGCACGAACGCCACCAACAACTCTACGCCGGTTGCACCCAGTCCTGTGGCGGCACACCCAGCTCCCATATAAGTCACCACCGTTAGCGCCGCTTACTGTTTGTGGGAGTCTAGAGGGTTGCACGCACCAGTGACTGTTTCCACCCAGTGGGCCGTCGAGTTCTGCATAACGTGAAAATGGCCAGGCTTACCCTACGGTTTGCATTTCAAGGATCGAGTTAGCCTGCGTAAGCGACATAGGTCATCAAGCTTCTGTAAGTGCGCGCACCTTGAAGGTCTGACCGTACAGAAGCGAGGGACCCAGGATCTGGGTATCTACGATCGCGTTGACAAAGGCGTTGTCCGACAGCAGTCCCTGATTGGAGGGTACCACCACAACGCCGCCATGGCTGGCGATAGCCTGGGACACTGCGGCAAACGTCTTTGCCACCGCCGGCGGGATACCCGCGCGTGTCGGTACCGTGAGCAGGCCGACTCGCAGGTGGCTGAGGTCAATCTCGTGCTTGCTCGGGAGCGGGGCGTCGGGGAAGGAATCGCCTTGCAGCTGCAGAGCAGCGACGAAGTACTCCTCGACACGTTGCTTGGCCTTTTCGATGCCGCCGTCGAGCTGCACGCTGGCCCAGCCAAAGCTGTCGACAGGTATGTGCATCCGCTGCAGCTTTTCCATCATGGCGTGGTTGTGGGTCTTTTCGCATCCGTGCTCCAGCAGCAACGCCGAGTGAACCGAGGGGTGGACCAGATATCCCAGCAAAGTCTGCGCATACACCTCTTCGTTGATTCCACCGCTGCAGCCGCAGCCCTCTGCATCATTGGCACGCCACAAAACCGCGCCCCCTCAGTTGCCAGGTCTGTGTGCCTAATCATCCAACTAAAATGTCCAGGTGAGAGTGCGTCGTACCGGTGTGAGGGAGGGCCACAAATCTTGTGACGCCATGGGTCCCTCGCCCGGCCAGCTTTTCGTTGAGGTGCTGCGCGATATGCAGCGCCACCTGACCGCTGCACAGCGAGGTGGGAAGAATCAGACCGACCCGGTCTAGCACGTACTCGGGCTCCCCTAATGCGCTCAACCAAGGCCAAGCGTAAGCGTTGATACACAGAAGAAGTGCATATCGCTGCAAGGGGGGGGGGTACCATCACGTTGAGCTGCCTCGCCGCCTCTGCGCCAAGCGGAGAACGTGCACGGGCGCAGCACCGTTGCTCCTTCAGCTGGTTTGAGTTGTATGGTACGCTTGTTGTTGGAGATTTCAGTGGCCAGGCTGGTGTAGAATTCCTTCACCTCGTTGACGTCCGCCTTGCCAGCCTGTGGAGCCATGAGTGAGGTGTGGTCTTCATGTGGCCCAAGATGCTGACAAATACAGACTGTTACCTGTCTCCAATTTCGCCATAACTGGACCTGAGAATGGCCAGCCTTCTCTCCGACGGACTTGTGACCCGATGCCACATCCACCACCAGGTCCAGT